ACTAGGCCCAAGTCAATCATTAAACTGATTGGAACACCTGTCCTGTGAGGAGAAGCTGAGAGAGCTGGGCCTATTCAAGCTGGAGTAGAGGAGGTCCCGGGGAATCTCCATCAGTGTATACAAATGTCTGAAGAGCATGTGTGGAGGGTGCAGCCAGGCTCTTCAGGAATGCTTGGTGTGATGACAAGGAGCAATGAACAAGTACTGAAGAAAAGGATGTTCCGTATGTACACCAGGAAGTACTTCTGTACTGCAGATGAGATGGGGAGCTGGTGCAGGTTGCTCAGAGAGGTTGTGGGGTCTCCTTTTGGGGTGTCTTTAATATCTGCCTGGACGTGGACCTGGGCACAAGGTCGGGGTGACCCTGCTTGAGCTGAGATTGGACTAGATGGCCTCCACATGTCCCTTCCAACTTCAGCCATTCTGTGATTAAACTGAAAGTTGTGCAAAAATATATCATCTTGTGCTCTAGCTGTTAGTTCTCCTGATGTTTGCTTCCTAGCTAACTTTCTCCCATGTATTGCCAGTGAAAAATGATAGATAAATAAGGAATATGAAATTAAAATGCAAAATACTTGAAACTAATTGCTAATGAAAAAAATACAGACTTTGAGTTTGGTAGACATTGTGCAAGGAGCACACTGATGGAAAATATTATGTAGTTCAGATAACAGATGAGAAGGAAAGCAGAATGTTTTGAATACGCTTTCCACAAGTGCAATATGCACTCAATTCCTGTAGTTTTGTGTTTATAAATTCCATAGCAAAGCTACTGCAGCATTATAAATAATAAAATAACCTTCTGACACTACTTCACTTCATTTTGTAGGCTCTATCCCTCAGCAAATACTAGCATATGCAGATGCCTTGTCTCATCAAAATGTAAATTGCATCCTGATGTTACATGGTGTGCTGTCACACCTTTTAAAATAAAGAATATCCATGGAAGGGAGAAACATCAGGAAAAATATGAAGAAAAATTCCAGTATTTAAATTTGAAGAACATTTCTGAGAGCTGAATGAACAAAAAGTATAAGCATGAAAGGCATCTCTGCACTGACAAGTGTTGTGAGGAATCCCTCACCTTTGTTTGGGCTCTCTGTACTAGCAAGTTCATTGCCAAGCAGTTCTCCTTGTGGCTGCCTTCATTTTGGATAAAGTAACGCTCTTTTAGGGTTGTCAGTAAGTAAAAAAACTTGCCTGTGGAGGGATATAGGATCCAGTATTTTGTAAAATACTTCCAAATTTCTATTATTAATAAATGACTTGTAGTTTGGTTCTTTGGGGGGCTTTTTTATTGCCTTTCTGGTGGGGTGAGATGAGGGAAGGCACTAAATCTGACAGCTTGCTAGGAACGGGGAGATGTTGTGAGAAGCGCTGTTAAGGAGATTATGTTATCTCCCCAAAACAGAGAATGCTGTGGTCAACGGGAAATCAATTTCTGAGGGTGCTACAGTAAATTTGTCTTGTAACTGAAAACTTTCTAATTGCTGCCCCAAGGGAACAGTAAGCTGAAAACCAAGCATATGGTTTCTCCTCCTTTTCCCTCCTTTGATTCTGTCTAAATTACCTCTAGCGTCCCAGTAACTTTATGCATTAAATGTTCGCAAATGCTTAACGCTATCGTAGTTGCTCTCACTCGTGCAGTAACTTTGCTGCTTAAAAGCCAGATGTTATTCTGAAGGTTCTGGGAAATATAGCCTCTACTCTTAGCTGTAGCATTAGTCATTATTATGAAAGAGAAAATAAGTTTTATTCCATGCTACACAGCAGAAACAGCAGAAACATTATATCTTTTTTTTTTTTTTTTCCTCCCCTAGAAGAGGCATAAGGAACTGGCTTTTCTTTGGTGGGTTTTTTTCCTTCCTTTTTTCTTTTCCTTTTTTTTTTTCCTTCAGTGAGAGTTTTGGTACTCCTGGCATCTGAAAGCATCCTAGTGCCAATGTTACAGCCTAGTTTTTATCACTTATTGTTTTATTTATGATTTGTGGACAATATTAAACAGAGTGAAAAGGCCTGGCATAAATACTACTGAACTAATGCAGAGATCCATTGTGTTATAAGGGCTTTGGGATGTATCTGGTTGTGATTAAGAGACTACAAAGGTTAAAATGTGTTGACAGTTCTTTGTTCTGAAACTTTGTCTGGGTGTGAATGGTAGTCTGTGAAGAAGGAATGGAAAAACATAACAACCTTTGTGTTGTTACAAAGATCTTCTTGTGGTCAAGCTCCAGCTTCAGTGAAGTGCTAAAAGGCTGGCTGGAGTTCGAGAATAAGGATGAGTGGAATAGCAAATGGAATGTGAGCTGTAGTTTTGATTTGGAGCCTTCTGAAAATTTCTCTGTGTTGATACTATGCATCCCTTTGAAACTTAGGGAAAAAAATTGGCAAGGAAAAGTTCAACTTTCCTGACCATATTTTGCAACTGTATTTTTGCTCCAAAAACACATTTTTGTTTAGTCAGATTATATGCTTATGTACCATTTGCTCCTTGCCAGCACAGATAAACATGATCAGATACATAGATCACTCTGGAAATAATTCCTCTTACTTATTTCCATGGAAAATACAACAGATACAAAAACCACAACAATGCTGTTTGATGGAGCGCATTCTCAGCTTCAAAGCACTGGTTTTCAACATAGTCACCACCATTAGCTATGCATTTTTGCCTAAAATGGAGAAGAGCTTGCATGCTGTGCTTGTAAAAGTCTGCACCAGCAGATGATCCAGTGTCACTGTCACCACTGCTGCAATGCACCACTCACTGCTTCAGCTCCCATGCACGGTTTGGTCTCCATACACATTCAGCAAGTGTTGATGAATGTCAATGGGTTCATTTTTTTCCACATAGAAAAATTAAATGCCACACCTTTGCTTTGTATGCACTTCCTTGTCAGACTGTTCCTCTGCTGCCGTCTGTCACATGGCAACAAAATGGAGTAGAATATTGTTTGGAAGATTCAACTTATACTGCCATACCACCAACATCTGCCTTAGGTGTCATGGGCCAACATAATAAAAAATAGGAGGCATTACTTTTGGAGCAGCCCTCATGGTACACCAATTACTCACAAGCAAACTGCATTGATTACTAAGTTATCTAAAATACCTGTCACAAATTATTTGCTAGAAAAAACACACAGTCACACTAGTTACTAATTGTTAATGTTAGAAATGTCTAAATACAACTCCAAAAAGCAATAAACAAATCAATCACTGTTTAAAATATTAATTACAATTTAGTTGCAACACAATTTAAAATTAACAACAGAATTGTCATTTTGAATTTCACGTGCTAAAATTAACATGAAATAAAATATAGCTGGCCCAGAATTGCTTGCATTTTTCAAGAAAATTCTTTTTCAGTGAGAAGATGCAAAAATTTCTCTTGAACTTAATGGGAGGTTTTCTTGTGTATGTACTCTTAATTTGAGCATGAGGATAATTGTTTTCAACAAGAAATAATAATAACTGTATTATAATATATATATATATGTATAAATATAGTTGCTTGGTGTTTTAAAATTTCAAAGCGGTAGAACCATATTCATACTTTATCTGAAAAAAGTTAGGGAAATGCATGGTTGCCTATTAGTATTACATTAGTGTAATTACATTAGATCTGTGAAATGCATTGAAAATTTATAGAAAAGCTGCTCTACACATCATAAGCTCTCATAAAGGCTGTGATTGCTAACAGGTACTTGTTTTACTGTAGTAATTGCAAGTTGCAGTCATAAACAGGATGCAAATCCATTTCCTCTTTACAAACCTAAAATCAAAGGATAGACTTTGCAGTAGGTGGTGAAAGCCAGATTCTATCCAGTTCATGTACTGTTGTCACTCCTCAGCAAATAAATAAAAACAGCCCTATAGTTAAGCAGATGGTTACTTGCTTTGTTGATGTGATCATTTGTTTTATTTCTTGAAAACTACTTTCATATCCTCTCACTGGTTAGAAGAAAATGGTTGGCATCTAGCTTTCAGGCTGGTGGGTCTGAAACAAACATCCTTAAGCTGAGGATTGAGTGGGCAGGCAGACAGACTGACCTTGTTGTTTTTTTTGGTTTTTTTTGGCCCAAGATGATTTCCCAGTTTCAGTTCATTGAAGCAGTGGTGCGATACATAACCTCCTGGCAGAGAAGAATGTATTTGTGCATGCATTTTCTCAGCAACCAAGCCACAAATTCACCTATGTTCCTTTTAACGTGCTTAGATGGAATCAAACTAATATTAAACAGATTTTTGAAATTAAATTTGATGAGTTTGAAAAGCTCCATTTCTCTCATACCTGATATCTGAGTCTGCTTTGAGCAGCTGCTTGGGAAAACAGATCTTCTAAATTGTATTCTTAGGTCCTGATGCACTCTTCTGGTTACTTAGTATTCTGTTTACAAAATGCTCCTCTTAAATATTTGATGAAGAGTAGTGATTAGGTACAGGAAGTGCTGGCTTTTTTTTTTTTTTTTCTTTTCTTTCAGTTGTATGTATGTTAATGCTCACTTGCAATTTTCATGAAGCTGTTGCATGTGCAACATGAGGTAAACAGCACTATCCTGTAATAAACCATATGATTGCAATAGAAGTGACTTGGGTGTGAGAGAATGGAGTATACGTCTTTTACATCAGAGAAAGAAAATTAAGAAGATAGAAGGATTGACGTTGTTTCTAGAAGTGAGGAAACCCTAAATTCTGTTGTTAGTCATGAAAATGTGTTAATGTATTTTGTAGAATGACCCCCATTCCCCAGTTGGCTGAAAGTCTTATTGTACGTAGCTTTCTGGTTTGAGCTGCTGTTTTAAAATACTTTTCTAATGCTCTCTGTTATTTAAAAAAAAAAAAAAAAAAAAGGTGCACAAATACAGTCAACCTTGTTCTCAACAACAACTGGGCAGGAGGATTTATGTCATTTTTATTTTTTTCTTTTCTTTTTCTATCTGTGTAGTGTGTAAAATGCGCCACACTGTGGTGACAGCTTCTTTTGTTTATTTTTGTAGGCTTGACCCAAGGACAATTTCATCCCACAAGAATCGGCCAGCAAGATCTGCATAGGCTTCTTCCTAAGGGGAATCATGTCTGAGATTGACTACGAGAAGTTAGCCGAAATAGGTAAATATTTTTTATTATACTATAAATGGCTTCTGTGTAAAGTCACAGGTGATTTAATAGAGCATCTTGAGTAAGGGAGAGGCTCACCAGCATTTTGTAATGCTTCTTGAAGCAATCCAGTATGAGTTACAGCCACTGTACTCATGTGTACCCTATTAAAGCCATTAGAGTTGAAGGTTAGTTTAATACATGCAGCTTTTATGAATTATTGGTAGATGTTCCCAGTGCAATTCTAAGCTATTGGAATATCACGATCTTCACATATTGTGGCACAAATGGGAGTCATTACTCCAAAAAGACAAGTATTGAATGAGTATAGAGATTGCTGCATTGCATGTTATTTCCAAAGATGTTAGTTGCAATGAGCAATATGGCCGTGGCATTACAGGGCTCATCATTTTGAAAGATCAGTGTTTTTTTTTTTTTCCCCTGAGTTTTGGAGGATTCCAGGCAAATCCCAAAGCAAGATTTTTTTTTCTTTTCTTTCTTTTTTTTTCCCCTCCACCTCATTCTCCTGATCCTCTACTTAGCTCTGATGTCTCCACACCACAACTTTCAGCAACAAGCTATTTTCCAGTCAGATTTGGCAAGCTCTCAATCAGTCCCTTTGTCGTCTCTTCCAGCCAGGGCAGAACAGCAGCAGCTATGTGCGTGGTAACAGATGATCCTCTGCTATGGCTCATGAAGCAGGGCAATAAACTCCTGGCACTGAGTGAGAAAAATGGAGCTCAGGTCTCCCTCAGCCTGGATCACTGAATCTTCTTTTTTATTTGTGTATATTAGGAAATGTCTCTTGAGCTCCTGTCGTCTTGTTCACGCATGTGGAAAGGAGGAAAAGAAAAAGAATAAATAATTATTTTACTAGGTTAGTGTTAACTAGCTTTTCAGTAGTTTGTGACTACTGCTGGGACTACTCTAGTCCCTGTGAAAAACTGCAGTAGAAATGGGCATACGTGTTTTGCTTCCCTAACTCTCTGCTGCATGTCAAAGCCAGGTTGCTTTTTGGAAACACATCTATTACTATGCATAGTACAAAATGAATTTTTACAGAAGAGGTTGTCCCCAACCTCTCTGCACAAAAGACTATAGATAGCATATCTGTCCTTTTTGTTGTTTAATAGCAAAAATAAAAAAAAATGCACATTTCACTTTTATTAAAACTTATTAAGTTTCAATGGATTCTAGTGAATAGTTGTTTCTTGCTTTTTAACTCCAGATACTCACATTTTCTATTTTTTTTTCTCTCTCTGTTTTTGCTATTTGTTACTTTATGTGGTTAAGTGTTCAGACATGAAAATATACTAAACAAAACAGCACTTTTCTTTTTCAGATTTGTAGCATGACTTTAAATATATAAAAATGAAAGACAAAAAAAAAGTGAAATTTGGTATGGAGTTATATTTGTATTATTATTCCTGGCTCTTGAGGAAATAAAAATCCTTTTCTAAGGTGAAAGAATACATCCCCAGTTAAGGTTAGTGTAGCTTTTTATATCTGATATGCTTCTAAAAGGTACGAAAACACACATTTTGGTGATAATAAAAAAATTAAAATTTATGTGTATGAGGAGGGCCGATGGTATATTAATAAAATGCAGATTATTTTTCCAGTGAGTAATAGGACTTTTGGTTTGTTTTCTGAGGAACTCAGATGTGAGTTGAAACATAAAGAAATTTAAGAAAAAATGCACTTTCCTGACTGTTCTTTTCCTTGAGAAGCCCAGCCATCAGTGACGTTTTTCATCATTTTGAAAAGCATTTTTGGTACAAATCATATAAATATATGTATTTTTATATGTTATATAAATATATATATATACAAATTTATTTGTATAAATACAAATAAAAATGAAACTATGAAACTTTCATATAGCTGTTTATAGATTGGAAAGCTACTGGCAAACCGTGAGTTAAAAACATTGCAAAAATATTTAGTGAGAGTTTTTCTCTAACACATCCTAGCTACTGGTACTAAATCTGGTTGAAATCGATACCTAGTATATTGTCTCTGTCCTAGTATATCTTGAATGCTGGTCAAGGCATGTAAAATATATAGATGATCAGAATGCAAACGTTCTTGAAGGATTTAAGTGGCACGAATAGTGTTACAGATAAACTTTTTGATTCCTTAGTGTTAGAAGAATTATAATAAAAGTGGTGGATGATGTACAGGGGGTGCTGCACCCTATCAGAACATTAGTTTTTCCCTTTACATGTGTGTTTTCCTCTCATAAGCCATCAAGACATTTGTGTGCCAGCGTGTCAGTATAATTTTATTCCAGTCAGTTTCTAGAAAACACCCACTTGTGTAATTCTGCAACATAAAGGGCAGCAATTGTCCCAGAATCTGTTTGTTTCGATTGGTACTTTGGTTCTTTCCTTTTCTGTACCAAGCAATGATTTGAAAAAGCTTTGGGAAAAGAAACCAACCCAAGTTCTGAATCAGGACTGAATAACCATGAGTTACTAAGTTTGGTGTGAAATAGATTTAACTTGAGAATCTAGTCCAGAAGTGAAAAGATATCCATGGATTTCATTGGGTTTTTGAGCTGATGTTTGTATCTTACTTTGGCCTCTAGCTGGTGTATGTGATGGATGGAGATTTGACTGCCTCGCCTACTGCAAGTTTTGAACACTGAATTCACATTGACTTCAAGGAAATTATAGATTTTGATGGAACTAAGATGGGTTTTTATTGGTACTTCAGTACCTTTGTTCAAGGTATCTTCATGCAGGTCTGCTTTCAGAGAGTGTTATGGAACAGCTGTCAATGCACATTAGCATACTGAAACTTTGACTTCCCCGTTTGAACACCCTTGAAGTAAAAGAAGAGATGTAGATGGATAAAGGAAGCAGATTGCGAGAGTGTAAGAAATGACAAGACAACACTAGCAGTTGTGTATAGCAAGGTCACAAGCATGCCAGCTGTCCAGCCGTAGTCAAGATTTTTATGACTACCACAGCAGATACTATTTTTAAGGAAGACGTGAAGGTTGTTTTGAGTTATTAAAGGGTTGTTTTTTCCCACACATGAAAATGGGGAAGGAGGAAGAAACTGTTTTGAAAATATATCAACTGGTGTTTTTGTCCGGGTTAAAATTTAAGCCTTCAGTAATTATTCAGAAACAAAAGTTTTTTCTGTGTTCATTAGCACTTACGCATTCTTTCTTGCTTCTTTAGAACTGCAGAAAGATGAAGCAGAAGATACACAGTCAGGACAAGATAAAATGTTTACGCCTCCACCACTTGAGGATCCTGAGCTAGATATCAATCATCCCTACTATGATGTTGCAAGACATGGCATCATCCAATTAGCAGGTATATTTGGACAAAAAGCATAACTTCAACATGTTAAACCCCTTAGCACAATTTTCTCTCTGTACTCTTCAAGGCGTTGCATTGTAATTGTACTGATGTTTTCAGCCTTCATCCTGAAGAGCAGCTGAATAGTAAAATGTGATCCCTGGCTTTTCTAGAGAGGACTTATGAGTCAAATGCTTGAGCTTAAACTTGTTTTAAAGTATAATATAAACATAATTATCAAAATATACTGTAATTGAAGGCCTAACTGTGGCTGTAACAGAGCCGTACTTTGTTTCAGTGATAAGTTTTGTTTTTTTTTTAACAACCTGAAGTGTTATGAGGGCGCACACATCATTTTTCTTGTTGCTCAGGAAAGGGCATGCAGCTGAAGAGTTACAGGCTAATAAAAGGCAAAAAGGAAACTGCTGACAAAAAATTTAACTGCGTTTATCACTTGGCTCTCTGTTGTGATAAGGAGATAAACTACGGTTACATAACATATTTGATATATTGACATATTGGTTCATTTGGTGTTTACACTTATTTATATTTAAAGCATTTTGGCAACATAGAACATGCAGACACATGAAAAAAAAGGCATACATATGAGGTGTACACATATAAGTATATACTGCATGCCGTTTTACCCATTTCATTTGCTTTTAGCATTAATGCTTTTCTTATTGTAACAGTTGTACAATGTATTGTGTATTAACCACAATACTCAACTACAATTAAGTTATACAGTAAGATGTAAACAACAATAGTTAATATTGCACATCCTAATGAAGTCTAAAATTGTGTTCTATCATGCACACTTTTTGTCTAGGTTGCAATTTTTCTGGAAAATGGTGAACTCTGGTTATATGTATTTACCTTTCTGAATTTGATCCATAAACAGGATGCTATCCATGTGAATATAAACTTCAGCAAAACCAATCCTCAGAAGAGGTTTGATTGAATAGGCTGGTGAAAAATGTTGTAAATTACTTCTGATTATAGGAGAGTTTTATTCATACTAGTATCTCTTCTTGAAGCTAGCTATACACAGGATAATAATTAAATTTTACCTGCATCAAAACTAACTCTGCAACATAAGATTAACGTCCATAAACAAGGGAACAACAGATTCACATTCTTGCAACTCAGTAGCTGCTACCTACGAGTCCAGTAGGATGTTTCTCACTGAGGCACAAGTTTGCGGATGAAAGAAATACTAATATGAAAGTTAGTAATGAAGTCATTGAAATCAAACTGACAGAGTGTGAAATAGATGTGTTAACAGACACACTGGATATACCAGAGTTACTGTAACTGTCCATCTAAGAACCTCTCCCATCTGCTGTATTAGGCAGTTCTATATGATCCTGTTTTAAAAGAGATCTTTGCAAGACTTTTTCCTCCTGCTATGATACACAAGATTGAATCATGATTTGCCATGTATTTACTTTTTCAACCTAGTTAAAATGCATGATTATTTAGTAAATGTTTGTTTCTGGTCCTTGCTGTTCATTCACTCAAAGCTGTCCTGGAAGTCAGAAGCACTTGGCATTTGGTTTAGTTAGCGTTAATTCTAAAGGGTCCTTGTGTGTTTATCATGCTTGGAGTAATCACTGTGATTTTTGCAGCCGCCAGATGATGAGCCTAAGCCTGGGTCTGTATTTTGAAAATCTCCTCTTTTCTGTCCCTGTGTACTGGAGGAAAAGAGGACAAGTTGGCAGTCTTAGTATGCTCAGCCTGAATCACCAATGAGACACACCCTACTGATTCTGAAAAGAAAATAAGTAAAGTTTACTGATTACTGTGGCATACAAACTGGTATCTTTGATAGTCTTTGACTTATCCTACTATTTGTCTCAGAAGAGCTAAAACAGTGGGGGAACTCAAAATTCACCATCTCATTCATTTTTTTATTTTGATGGTGAAATATACTGGAACAGCAGTTTTTAATCTTTTCCAGACTTCTACTGCTGGTGAAACAGAGTACGCATGGTGGGGACAGAGTGATAATCAGCCTGCCCATTCCCAAACAGTCTCATCTGTTTTCATGTAATGTGTATTCCTTCTCCTTATCCCTGTATTAGAGAATGGGAATGTGTTTCAGTGCACTCTGGAGTGAAAACCACAGTGGTTTTTAGAGACCTTCTGGTAGTGGTAGCATCCACTGATTCTTTTTGGAACTTGCTCCATACCAGTTATTTCTTTCTAATGCAATCAAAACATTAGCTGTATTCTAAATTTGCTAAAGTATCCACAAGATGAGCCTGGGATGAAGTGTTAGTTTGTCTATGTTGATTTTCTCCTTACTACTGTAGTCTTTTGTAGGGAAAAAAGGGTCCTCCAGCCTTTGTCTAAGCATAGATAAGAGTGACTTTAGCTGCCACTTCAGTCAGAAACATGAGATGGGATTTTGCAAACCTACAGAACAATTAAAATGTGAAGCACAAGCCAGGAACTGTTCTTCAGAATGTGGTGTATGCACATTTGAAATAATTCTGATGGTAGAGTGCAAGATGGGAACATATGAATGCATAATATGGGGAAAGTAAAATACTATCCAAAGATATGCTTCACCTCTGCAAAAGGAGACCTCCTTGTCCCCACTGCTAACGAGTGGAATCAGGTTTGGATGCTTTCTGGATTTACATTCATGAGAGAAAATCAGATTTCCTTCCCATCTTAGAAAAGGTCAAACAATGCTTTTGACATGAGTCACTTTAAAATGATTTGTACCTAGTTTATAATGCTTTCAATAATCTCTGTGAATAAGACAAAGTATAATTTCAGCACTTCAAATGCTTTCTTTAGAGGAATTCTGAAAGCTGCTCCTTCAGGTTTGATTCTCTGATTGAAAGACAATGAGATTATTGTTTAAGTGAAGAAGAAAAAAGAGTTTAGGTGAAAATATTTGCAGTGATTTACTCATCTCTTACTATCATCTAATTTCCAACACTTATTTAAAAGAAAAAAAAATCTATGATTCCTCTTCGCTTCTCATAAATTGACTTCTACTTGCTTTCCATAACAATAGCTTTGACTATATGTAAAGAAGATTTCTGCAGTGTACTTATACAGTGTGAAATGCAATCAATTAAATAAAAATAAGGAACATTTAGAAAGATGTAAACTTTAATTATTTTTTATTAATCACGTACTAGTTTATCTCACCAATGGCAATGTACAGCTGGCTACTGGTTAACACATGTAAATGGAAACAAGGCTGCAATGCTTGTTCTTATTATTTTCATTTTGAAGGAAAAATTTCAGTCTGTTTTCCTGTTGCCTAAAAAGAAAGTAAACTGGTTTTTGGTTGTGATTTTTTTTTTTTTTAAAGGGACATACAAGCAAATATAATCTTTCTAAGTTGTTTCTGTAATATGATTACTGATAACTTATTGTAGCACCTGTTTTTGAATATATGTTGATTTAGGAGTCTGTCTCTGACTCTTGTGCTTTTATTAACTGCCAGTTATATCCCTGTGAATTTGATTGAACTTTCCCTAACAGAAGCAAAACATCTTATTTGCTTTGCAACTCTACATTTTCCTTAGCTTTTCACTGTTTTTCTTTCCAGTTATATTTAAAGATTTCAGATATATTCAAGGATTTGAAATATTGGTTATTTGAGAAAGACTGTCCATGCTCTTCAAGCTCCCATTCATATTCAGTTATGATTTCTGACCAGTGCATTAGAAAATAATTAAACTAGTGTTGTGTCAGTCAGACTGTGGAAGAAACAGAGATGATGTAGTTTTTGTGTCTTAGTTTCATTATATAATTCACTACTGTTTCTCCTTAAAGTCACAAATGTTTGAAATTTTCAGTCCATCTCAGTGACAGCTTTGCCACTTCCTGCAATACCCCCAGGAGCAGTCCCATTGCGTGTAAATTGTAGTGCCAAAATATAGAGGAAGGTCTAAACCTTTTATTCTTGAAAGAGAATAAAATGGACAAAGTAAGTCTTATTTCCAAAAGATTCCTGAAATCAGGACTTTGGTGTTATTTCATAAATTATACCTTCTTGTGGGAAACAGGAAACCAACTGGAGAGACCTAAGACTTCCAAGTTTTCAAGGACTGCAGGCCGTTTTCAAGAAGGAAACTGAGGCCTCTGTAACTTATTTCAACTCAAGAGCAGACAGTAATGTGGGCTTTGCACTTTAGGAAGCCTGTCCTAACCATTTGACTCTTGTCATTTTAGAAACGTGGGTTCAAATCCTTCAGGTAGGAATTGAATTTGAATTTTTCACATGGAGGCAGTTTTCCTGTTGTTTCTTTCTCCAACTATTTTCTTCGGAATGTAAAATGAAATGAATTGCTCTTAATGGCATTTCTTGCTTTTGAATGTCAGGCTGCAAGCAATAGTGTCACTTTTAAAGGCAGAACGTAGTTAATTTCATCGAAGAATATGGAGGTGTTTTCATGTTGAGTCTGAGAAAATACGGAGATTGAGCCAGGCATACCTGAACTTAGTGGTTGACTTCAGGAGTGGCTTTAACTTAGCCGTATTTCAACAAATGTTTTATACTTAATGAAGAGCACAGAGAAATGTAAATGCTTTATTACACCAAAGCAAGCTGTCTCTTCACTTTCAGCTGGTCTGAAGAAAATGTGCTGTGGCAAAACACTTCTCTTAGCCAAAACTGAGAAGAGAGAGAGTCCATGAAGAAATCTCTGTTGAGTAGTCTTTGTTTTCTGAAGGGAAGGTACAAATGTCTTGATGTAGGAAATCTCTGAAATACTCATTCTGTCTTACAATTTCTTCCTTTTAGGAAATCATGTGAATATATACTTGATTTTAATTATAATTTTTGCACTTTCCAGAATTAATCAGATGCAGCGCAGGTGCAATCCTCTCACAGAAAGTTGGTACCTAAATTACTGGGTGAGCAGGAAGGGAACTGAGTAATGAACACAGAAAGAAAATGGTGTGAAATCAAAACAGGCTGGCTGTTGTCACGTAGAGTTGGTGTCACCCCCATTACCTACTTGGGGAATCTAATGTCTATTATAATGGAAAAACAACCAGCTCATTATCACTAATTTTGGCCACTTTAAAGTCGAAGTCTTAAAATATCCATTGTAATGTATTTTCATATGATTGGCCAAGGTAATCAGTGCTAGAAAAAAGAAGACTCAGATATCTACATGCAAAGATATTAGCTTCTACTGCTATTGTTGAGACTCAGCTGTGTTATCAGGGCTGCGTGCTTCGTTGCTGACTAAGAAGTTTGCCATTATGGATGGGCAGAGACTTACATAGCATTAATTGTGGGCATATTTACTATCCATTACTCATCCAGTGCAAAACACAGAATGCTTGTAATTGCTTTTTTGTAACCCCTGATTTCCCCAAGTCACAGAGAACAGGAGGGACCTTGAAAGCACAGTTTGTCTCATCATTTAACACTGTGTGAATGAAGTTTAAGGTTATTTTCAGTAACTTAAATTCTAAGAAAGAAACATATGGGAGTTAGTCTTTTCAGTGTAGTGGCAAGTCCCTTGGATTTTGACCCAGCTCCTATTCCCATCTCTCACTGAAACAAAGGCAGAAGTTCCATTCACTTTAGGACCATTCTGTGCTTTCATGTAATAATGACAAGCTTCAGCAAAATAATATATTTAACTTTTATAAAATAGTAATGTTTAGCATCATTAGAAGACAGACTTTAAAAAGTCATACTAAAATTACAGCAATCAAAATCTCTCATTTGTAAATTGGAATAAGCTGTATCATTAGAAAAAACTTTTCATTTGCAAGATGGAGTAAGTGCTGTGCCATCCAAATTCTTAATTAAAAAGCAGAACAATCCATTTTCCTACTTGCTCTTCCTTGTTTCTTACCATAACTTTTTTTTTTCCTTGGTACTGTGAAGTTTGATATCAGAAGTGATGTATGAATCATGTCTGCTTCAGACAAATACACACAAATAATATTCCAGCATTTTGTATTTTAATGGGCATAAATCCTGTTCTGGACACTGCACTCCACACACCCCTCTTTACTCATGAGGTGTAGAGAAGGAAGTTGGCTTGACAGAAATGAGTTTACAGAATTGACTCAGCAGTGAGCACAGCTGATAATGCTGAGGCTGTCATCATCTTTCTATTTACATACTTTACTTATGAATGTGGCTACTGGGTACCAAGCGAGGCAGTGCCCTCTCACATATAGGTGAAGGATATCTCTCAAACATTTTTTGTGTGTGAGATAAGGATTTCAGACGAAGGATTTGCTAGTGTGAAGAAGATGAGAGCACGAACACAGAGAGAGTGGGCTGGGGGGTTTAGGTGCCCAAGCAGTTAAGGAACCCAGTCTTTGGGAATGCTTCTGGAACTGCTAGAGCACAAAAGCAGTGTAGAAGGAACACAGAAGCATAGAACAAGTTGTCATCTGAAGCTGTTCAGTAATGTGGAATAAAATATGTTAATATGAAATTACATTTTTTACCTGAAAGTAAATCACCAAGAAACAAAACTGAAATTGTGTTTTTTGTTTTTTTGTTTCGTTTTTGTGTTTTTTTGTTGTTGTTGTTCGGTTGGTTTTTTTTGCATTATCTTCTGTAAAGAGAGGCATCTTTCAGTTCTAAATTATTTAATTACAAAGGAAATACAGGTTTTGTGGTATATATACTTGCTCTATGCTGACTTAAAAACAAATGCTTCAAGTAATGCTCTGTGTAGATAACTGGATGATTGATACTCCCACACTTCAAGCTACACTTTCACATGTTTGGGCATAACTTATTTCCTCAAAATTCTGGACTTCAGTGTGTTTCAAAGTGTGAAGCAAATAGTCCAGAGCAATGGGAATTTTGCAGGGTGCTCAGTCACAGCCCTTCTTGTAGAGGGCTAGGCAGACCTACTTGACAGATCAGCACTTCAATGTGCCATTTAAAAACTTTTCTGTTTTTCAAAGAATTATTGATGCCTATGTGAAAAGAACATCCTCTTTTCTTTTATCAGCTGTCATCATTATTGGGAAGCTGGCCCTGCTTTATTTAGCTTTTAGTCGAGCTGAGGTTCTCATTAACCATTTCTGATTGTGGCTGTTGCCCGTATAGCTCTATGGAGTTGCAGAACAAGGTTCAGTTCTCTGCTCTTCTTGTAGTTTTGGCAAAGCGATTGCACTCCAGTTTTCTGATTATTGAAACTAGAACACTTTACATGTGTTCTAAGTGTATCTGTTTACACTTCTTTTATAAAGGTAGTTATTTTATTCTGCCCTTTAAATCAGGCAGTGGAATGTAACCAACAGTAACAATTGGTGACTCATTTAGTAATTTAGCTGGAAACATTATTAGATTTATTTTGCTCATAAAAATGATTGTTTAACAAATAAAATATTCCACAGTGCACTGTAGCACAGCAGTTTTTCCACAAACAAGTAATGATTTAGAGAACAATTTTTTATTAATGCTTTAATTTAATTTTAGTACATTGTTCATATTAATGCCTTTCAAATTATAATGCCTTTATAAGTGCTCTGAAAACATCAAATAAGACACTTTAAATAACTTCAGGAAATGAAAATATTGCCTGTTTAAGAACAATGTACACACTTACCTGAGTACATATAATCATGTTGTTGTGCATAACCTTCCTTTAGTGGCGCTCAAGCACCTTATTTAACATGGGAATCAGAATTTATTATTAATGTGGCAAGGGGGCATCAAACTATGATGGATGAAAAAGCATGTTCAAGAAAGATAGCAAACATAAGTAGTAAGCCTGAAAGGAATGGAAAAAAAAAAGAAACAGCCAGCAGAGAAAACTACATTTTGGAAGTAAGAAATACAGGACTAAAGTGATAACTGCCAAAAGTCAAGCTGAGTTAAGTCTTTAAAGGTTGTTAAAGAAAATAATAAAAGGTTTTTTGGTTGTATAAAGAGAGAAAAAGGAGATAAATGATCTGTGAAATCAGAGTGGGGTAGACAATTTAAATGAATACTTCATCCCAGTTTTCAGTAAAGATTATGTTGATATTATTAGAAAACCTGTAAGTCCTATTTTTGATGTTCATCTTGCAATTCATGCAATCATTATCTAATCCTTGTCACCGATGCTTAGGAAAGAGGCATTCAGACTGGAGCAGTGTAGAAAACAGTGGGATTGGGGAAGGGAGATTTTTAAAGGAGATGGAAGATCTAACATGTTTATAAGCAGTAAAATGCAGGCTGAGAAGTGATTATTGCCTAGAGATTCCATCAGAGATGTAAACAGTACTGGAGGAGGAGAACTGTTCTGCCTGGATCATATCATTATCACACAAACAAGCTGGTACAGACTTGCTAGCACTTTTAGACCAGAACTGAGGAAAGAAGGTTGCATATTGTCATAGCAGTGAGCAGTAGGACCAAGAGCTGGAAAAATTCACTGGTTTTCAAGATGAAGCCTGACAAGTCAGCAAGGGTTATGGGCACAGTTCCTGGTGATGACACAGGTTTGGAACTGATAATGCAGAAGATGTCTCCCAGTCAGCATTCATAAGTGAAAAGTTATTAAAAGTTAATCTTGTCTCTTCTATCCCTTTTCCCATATGAAAAAAAAACAAAAAAACAAACAAAAAAACCCAATAGTGTACCATCACGACCTCTGTATACATGTGGGATAGAAACTGGATAAAGCAAGCACAAGAATGTTTTTTTCTTGATGTGGAATCTGTCAGCTGAAGGTGCCAATTTTTCCTAAGCAAAATAAAGGGAAGAATATTTACATAGCCGGTGGCTTTTCATCAAAAATACATGTTTCCAAGCTGGCAAATATTTTCTTATTCAGATGATGTAATTTGATCAGCTTTAGCTGATCAAGTTCATAGAACTGATGTTGATTCAAACAGCTGAAGCTGCTCTACCCAGTTTTCATAGAAATGTTCATATGATTCATATGTTGAGTTACCGTGTTAGATCTTTAATTTTCCCCCTTTTATTTCTTTGCTTTTTCATTCCAGCTAGTTACCTATATGTTAAGATCTTAACATCTCACAGTCTTCTGTACAGTTACCCTCAATATGATCATCCTATAACTTCTGAGTGTGGGTTTCCAGATAGCAGAAATTGAGCATTGGCTGGGCACTGGCATCATCACCAGCTTTGTCCATACAAGCAGTGGGTGAAAGTGTCATGAGCCAGTGAGTGCAATGAACTCGACTGCCACAGTACATGCTTTGCTGAAGGGATTAAGGGATGGAATCTTGGTGATCTTCAGGTTATGAAAAGCAAAGGTGTTTGCCCTGTGTCTTGTGTTTTAATGAGATCTGAATGTAGTGGTGCTTTTGGAAAAATATCTAAGAAAGCTTAAGCTGGTAAAATAAAAATCTGACTTCAGTGTTTGACAGAGCAAATGTCTAAATTGTTTGTTGTGGAACAGCAAATAAGGCATGACAAGTTTAAAAACATTACTTCTGCAACTTTCTTACTACTCCAGTAAGAAAGACACAGTTTCTTCCATGGTTAAATTCTGCAGGAGGATTTAGTCATTCCTTTTCAGGAGCTGCACACTACCAGCTATACTTTGAATAGGTCTTTCTCAGCTTAGTGCCTCAGTTGTTCAGCAGTTGCATCATTTTTACTGCCATGGTTGCCAGATTTATTTCTGTAGGCAACGTGTGATTTGCTTGTGAAGTTTCACAGTGTGTTTTGAGTAAAGATGAGAAATACCAAGATTACCCCCAATACCAGAAAATACAAGCTACTCCCTCAGATCACTGAGGTCCCACTGCATGAGTAAATGAGCATTGTCTTTACTAACTGTTTTGTTCACCAGGTGATGACAATTCTGGAAGAAAGGTGATTACCTTCAGTTGCTGCCGTATGCCCCCCTCCCACCAGCTCAATCACACCAGATTGCTGGAGTAAGTTTCTCTCAATCTCCTGTGTGGACTGCTTTACATTCACAGAATCACATTTCTATGTGAATCTCTTTTAGCTTGTTTCCAGATGAATGAGTTTTCAGAGAGGGAGAAGCAGGAGGTAGTGAGTGAAATGGAAAAATGATGTACTTACTAGTGTTAATATTAAGTCAATGAGATGTGGATGAAACTGGCAGTTTCTTCACCTGGAATCTTGTCTAGAGGAAGTAATTCACTGTGTACTGAAATTAACTTGGTGTTTTGATTTTCTTAATGAATTCTGATATTTTAAAACAAAGAATTTATGATGAAGACCAATGAAAGAGGAATTCTAGTATTTTAGCACTATGTACATAAGTTCTCATGAATGACAAGTTTGCCTTAGTTTGCTATATTTCATTTCCTAAATCACCTCGCAATAACATTTTGTTATTTATGTTACTGTTTTTCCTCTTTTATAAAATGACCTACATCAAGTACAGTATTTTTGTTTAAGTCTCTTGTATCTCACCTTGTAACAAGCAGTTGATTGTACAGAAATATTGGTTATTTTATTCCTTTAAAGCTCCCTCAATTATTTTTAGAAGTACAGGCTTTCCATAGGCAACGTGCCAAGGAATTTGCATGCTGTAAAATAAAACATGAGGCTCTCTGTATGTCAGAGTACATGTTTAGATATATTTATGTTTTGATTACACTCTATTTGAAAGTCTTGAATTACCATTAATGGTAATTCCATTATAATACCATTTAATACTCAATTCAGGTATCAAAACAGTATTACATAAATAGCAATAGCATTCCTTGTCCCAGACTATCTGCAGTGTTAAGGTTTTCAGTATCATAGATGAATAAGCAGATCAGTAAAACTGTGGGAGTACAGCATAGCAGTGAAGTAATGTGCTTTTGCATAGGTGAATAGTCAGTGTGGCCTTGATATTTTCAGGTAGCCACAGCCTAATAAGTGTCACATGAAACTGTCTATTTACTTGAATGAGTGAAGAACGATATCTGGGACTCTGTCACAGAATAATAAGATAACATTGAGAATGACATGAGAAAGTTGAAATCTGACACAGCAAGAGATGAGGCCAGATTGTACTCCTCCATCATTGCTTTATTTGAATCACTGAGCTGTGTAATAGACCATGCAGTGCTCTCAATTGTAGGAGAAAAGGAAAAGTGTCTTACACTATACCATAAAAGAATCAATGCACAGAAATCTGCTTATAAAACATATACTTTTATTTCAAGATGGGATAACTAGTGCAGTTCTTTAAATTAGTTTTAAAGGAAATGATCTATAAATGTAGTCCCTTCAAAGCAAACAAGAGAAAGGCAAGTGCACTCAAGAAAACAGTTTACAGTAACCAGTTGTAATTGGCAGTAATTAGAGTTAATGGATTTTCCCAAGAATTTAAGATCTTTTTATTTGAGAGTAAAAAGAAGACTTATCCCTTATTATTTTGAAAGGTTAAAATGACTATGTTTATTTGGCTAATTGGAAGGAATTGATAAAGACAAGAAGAAAGCAAAATAGAAGTTGCTGTCGGTTAAAATGTATCCTTTAAAATATTTGCTGAGCAACACAGTCATGTATTGTCTTCATCTTTTAGTGATTTGTGAGTACCATTGTTTTTATAACTAAATATGTTCATAATGTGGTGGAATTACTGGTAACACTGCCTCTAAAACAAGATGAACTTGTTTGCTAACTATGTTGAGGAAAACATGAATCTGCAGTCATGAATGTTCAGCGCAAAAACAGGGCATTTACTTTCTCAGTTACTGCTTTAAAATTCCCATCCAATACACTGTCTTAAAACTAAAATGGTATCTTTTCAGGTACTTGAAGTATACTCTGGAACAGTATGTAGAGAATGATTATACAGTTGTCTACTTTCACTACGGCCTGAAGAGTCTCAATAAGCCATCACTGAAATGGTTACAAACTGCCTACAAAGAATTCGACAGGAAGTATGTCTCCAGAATGTTTGGTTTGTGTGCATGTAAAATGTCTGTAGTTAATGGTTGAGTTAATTTTACCATTACAAATTCTTGTAATGACCTCAGCCTGTTGGTTCTCTTATAAATGTCTTCTGTGCACTACTTAGTGTCATAGGTGCTGAAATGATTATCCAAAGACTCGGGAGCAAGAACTGAGCCATTGTCTTTCTGTGTGCTATTTAACAAGAAGCTTGTGACACCTTACTAGCTATCATTCTTGATTATCTCAGAGGTTTTTTTTTAATCTTAAATCTTCTCAAGGCTAGGTTGTATATGAAATAGGAGATCCTAACAGACAGTTTCTCAAAATACTTGTAGTATTCATTGTTTGTTATATGTGAAACACAGAAATGACCCTGTGCTTGTATATGCCAGTCCTTTGAAGTAACGGTGACTGCTGCTGACTTATACTTTGGGTGTTTGGATGGGTTGTTGACTAGGCCAGAGCTCCTAGATAGATAGCTTTTCAATAGAGGAAACTGGGTTCTAAAGTTTATTCTTTGAAAACAAGCATTCACAGAATCACAGAATGGCCAGGGTTGGAAGGGACCTCAAGGATCATGAATCTCCAACCCCCCTGCCACATGCAGGGCCACCAGCCTCCCCATTTAATACCAGACCAGGCTGCCCAGGGCCCCATCCAATCTGGCCTTGAACACCTCCAGGGACGGGGCATCCACAACCTCTCTGGGCAGCCTGTTCCAGCACCTCACCACTCTCTCTCTAAAGAATTTCCCCCTGATGTCCAAGCTAAATCTCCCCTCCCTCAACTTAAAACCATTTCCCCTCGTCCTGCAGTTATCTACCCCTTCAAAGAGTTGATTCCTCTCCCCTCTGTAGGCTCCCTTTAGATATTGAAATGCTGCAATGAAGTTACCCTGCAGCCTTCTTCTCTGCAGGCTGAACAAGCCCAGCTCCCTCAGCCTGTCCTCATAGGGGAGGTGCTCCTGTCCCCTGGTCATCTTCGTGGCCCTCCTCTGGACCTTCTCCAACAGATCCCTGTCTTTCTTGTACTGGGGGCTCCACACTTGGATGCAGTATTCCAGATGGGGTTTCACAAGAGCAGAGTAGAGAGGAACAATCACCTCCCTGTCTCTGCTGGCCACCCCTCTTCTGATGGAGCCCAGGATACCATTTGCTTTTCAAGCCACAAGGGCACACTGCTGGCTCGTGTTAAGCTTTTCATCTATCAAGACCCCAGGTCCTTCTCCACAGGGCTGCTCTAGAGCTGGAAGTTCCTATTGAAATCAGTTAGGGTTTTACTTGTTCAAAGTTATTTTACTTGTTTTCAACAAGTTGTTTTACTTGTTTTTGTAAGCTGGCCAAAAAAGGGCAAAATATCTGGAAGTGAAAACATTCATAAATGGCTTTTTCCCAAAGTGGAACTGTAGATGTGCCTGTGTGTGCATGTTGGAGGATGAATCATATGTGCCTGATTCTTCCAATCTGGGAGCTGGAACAAGAAGCAAATCTCCAAAAAGACACTGTGAAAGAGGTTAATGTGTATTTCTAGATTAAACTGCAATATAAATACACAAGCATTTAACACATCTATGTACCACCCTGCTTTGAGAATGGAAATTCAAATATGCAAAATTTGGTTATCTAGTGCCAGAGTTCAGTCTTTTGAATCTCACCCAATAGCATCCTGTAACTCTAAAACCCACTATGCAAGAAAACAGCAGCCATCTGAGCTGCAGAGATGAGCTGTCATTTGAAGTATCTAACTGCTTTAATGAGAAATTGATATCGGTTCAGTAACAGATCGAGAAAGCTTATTTTTGGTAGTAGACTTCTGAATATGTTTGCTATAATACATTTATTGTTTAAGAGACAGGGTAAGGAAGAAAAAATGGCAAAGGATCTCCTATATTTTGTCTTTGGTGAAAGGTTTGGGCTATAATAGTGTTTTTTGCTGTGCTTTGACAGTTCCTGGAAATAAATCACTCTGTGGAATTGGAAGCCTACCCTATCATATTATTTTCCTTCTGAGACAATCCCAAACCTAATTTACAGCAGCTGTATAGGGAGAGGCAGTATGAGGGGCTATATCTTCCTCAGTTTTGTTGCCTTCTCTCCTGCATATATCTCAAGAACACAGTTACGCCAGAAATCTGTTTTCTCCATTTTCACTCTGTCCCAGAACGCAAGAGAACCAAGGAGGAGCAGATAATCCCAGGTATCTTTAAAGAGTAGGCAACCTCACACCCATCATTTTATTCACAGCTGAAGTTCATGGCATGCAGTCACCGAGAAGCTCACAGCAGTATTTGCAGTCCAGCATATATGTTTAGCTGTACTAGCTAGAAAGAAGAAAAAAAAAACACAACACAAATATAGTACCCTTCAAACCTGTTCCATTTGTGTATTTTGAGGGTGAGAGAAAAGGGGAGAATACAAAAGAAGATTGTAATTAGCTAGTATCATGAAAGGAAATGTTCAACTGGAATAATTTCAAGGTAGTAGTTCTTAGTTTTAAGGTTTATGGCAGGTCATTGTAGTCTTCTGGGCATTCACTTGTAGTTCAAGAAAATATGAAATATGTAAACTTCCACAGAAATATAGGCTTATGCCTTCTACTTTGAGATGCAGAACAGACTTATTTCAGTAAAGCAGCTCAGTTGTGTTGCTTTTTAGTTTTTATCACTGAATTTGAGTTCTTATTTACAGCAGTGCCTGTTGTGCAGGAGGATATTTATTTGCTTGTATGTAATACTGGCTTTGTAAAAACAGCACATAATGGGCCCATTTAAAACTGAAAAGGAAAAAACTATTTCAACTATTAAACTATTTTAACTTCTACGTTGATCCTCTTTTCCCTCTTACAATAACCTGTTACATAAAGGTTTTTCTTGAGAGTTAATGATTATCTTTTTTTTTTCCCCCCATAACAATGAATGGTCAGCACTGGGGAGGATTCTCCAGTTTTGAAGCAAACTTTGCAAAGCTCTAAGCAACAGTTCATATACAGAATATAAAGAGACACATGATTGTGGGTTTTCTCAGTTTCATTTTGCAGTAAGGTTGAGTAAGATCAGCATGTTCCTGTGGTGCCTAGTTTCCATTTTAGTTTTAGCCTTCTAGAATCTATTGTTTATGTACCATTATATGACAACATGGAATCAAGCACTGCTGTAATGGAGAAAGTTTTTGTTCTAAACAAAGAGGACCATCTGATATAAAACAGTGCATAATTGGCTTCAACTTTAGTAATGACAACCAAAGCAAGATAGAAGTAGTGGGAAAGAAGATTAGGCCTAAATTTTACAGCTAAAAATATATGAATTTTCTCCTGTATGAAGCTCCTTTATGGAGAAAATAAAGAGAGATGAAGGGAATCCATTTTTAAGACTTCTTTTTCCACTCAGTTCTTTTTCAGGTTGCTTCATCTCATGATTTTCCTTCTACACTCCAGATACTAAGCCCTTAAGACAAAAGACTTAGGTTAGGATTAAAATAGTGTTATCTTGGAATACAGTTGTATCATCGAAAGTAACCCTTTTTTTTTATTATTAAAAAAATCATTTTACATTGAGTTTCTCTGAATTAAGCCTTTTTAATGTACTTGAATAAAACGCTGTATGATATTCCTGTAATAATACTTTCCATTCAGTTGTATCTATTCATTTCTACAGTCTATGATATTCAAAAATTTTCTTAACAATTTCATTTTCTTTTCTTAGGTATAAGAAAAACCTGAAAGCACTCTATGTTGTACATCCAACCAACTTCATAAAAATTCTGTGGAATATTTTTAAACCTCTTATAAGGTAGGTGACAATTTTCCTGTCTAGTTTAAAGATGATTTGTTCTCTTACAGGTTGCTTTTAAAAAGCTTGAGGTAAAATATATCAAGTAACAGCACAACACCCATTTAAACTGGCTTGAACTAATATGTAAGATGAGCTCAAGCTTGAGTATGTACAACATGGTAGAGGGTATTTTCTTTCTAAGATTATGAAGTCTTAATTAATAAAAGATTCAGTGATATGTTAAAATAAATACTCCTTTAAAACTTAGTTATTCTGTGGGCATGAATGACTTTTTTGTTCTGTTCAACAGCACTTAGCACAAAAAAACTAAGTCCATGACTGGAGTTACTAGGTGGTATGGTAAATCAGGTAATAAATGGCTAACCTTTGGTCTGATCTCAACTGCAGAGATGAATAGGACTGATAATACTAGTGTGTTCAAAGTTAATGAATAAGCCCTGAAGTGCTCATAAGAATATGAGATAGACAGTATAATGGAGGGTATATTTTACCAGTGGATTCTTTTCCTCTCACTGTAAAAACTAATGGTAGCTACAAGGAACCAGCAATGATGGATAGATTCTGACAAGCACTAAGTTGGTTGGACTTCAAGTTTTTGCTCCTGAACTTCTCCTGCTTTCAAAGTAGTTCCAACGTGTTGCAGATTATATTATGAATGTTCTCAGAGTTGAAAGAATAAGGCAATTTATCCCGAGAAGCCATAGTGAATCAGCTCCTAATGTACGTTATGCTAACTTGCACTTTCTGACTGGGTAGCAATGTAATTAATTGTAAAGTTTTAATTTTAGACAGGTCAGAACATGCAAGAAGCATGTGAAATTAAAAAAAAATACAGCTAGAACTCATTCTGTAATTTATCATTCATGAAACAAGAATGACTGTAGATATTTATCGTAACTGGCAGTAAAATAAATGTCAGTAATCTAGGACATAGACTACTGGTGACAAAACTGTGACAGAAGCAGGAAGTGCAGTAGCTGATTCAACTTCAGGAACTGTATGGATATTTTTTATTCCTGATTTGCTGTAAGATGGCTATGAGGAGTTTTCCAGAAGGCTTTGGAAAAACAAACAAACAAAAACAAACAAACAAAAAACAAGAACACTACAAACCAGTAGTCATGATTTGTTCTAAGATGACTCGGGTACAGCCAGCTTCTTTCTAAGAGGCAGTTGAGAATGACTTGTGGGATGCTGAGAAGTCAGCTTCAGACCAGGTTGCTAAGCCAGGCATTGTGTGGCTAAAGGAAGAAGTGGAATAGTGAAGGACAGCTATTGCCTGGGTGTATTCAGTTGCTGATCACACTGTGGTGTGGAATCAGTGCTGGCTCCAGGGTTTGAATGCATATGTAACCCTCCTTGCACTTCAAATTTTCAATGTCCCTTTGGTCTTAGTGCTCTCAGTGGGGCTACAGGTGGATAAACACTGCTGCTAATTCTTAAAAGAAGTACATATACATGGTTATCTCTTCAAGCATTCATTTTCCCTGGATCTTATGATGTCTGCATGGATAAGATAAATACCTTTTTCTTTCTTGGAACACTATGATACGCTGGCATTTAAATCCTTATTTATTTTGGATGTAAAAATGGGTGCTTCTGATAAATTTAAGCATTCATATCCAGCACAGAAAATTGAAACCAGCATTTGTCATCTTAGATGCACGATCATCTTGTCCTTCTTAATGCCCTGTTTTCATAGCAATGAGCAATTCATGTTGTACTTGACTTTTAGTACTGCTTACCTGGATACTTGTTTTGAGTCTAATCTGATAGCGCTCTGCTCCATGTTAAAAAGAAAAAAATGTGACCAACAGGAACAAATTTATACACTGGTGATAATAATTATAGCAGTGATTATAATACTGTTTATTGTGACAAAATAATTGAAGGAATGAATTAACTCTGAAAAGTCAATGACGGAGAATTCTTCATAAGCCCATGGTTTATGTGTGATGTTGAAATCAGTGACCAGAAGAAAAAAAAAAAAAAAACTTGGAAAAAAGACAAGCTGAAAAATCTGAAGTTCTGCACAGTGGACTGATATCTATCAGTAATAAAAGCTCTCGTCTGTTGGCAAAATTTTGCACTTTCCACTCGAGAGCTTCTAAAATGCCCAAGTGACTTGCATTTGTGTCATCGCCCACTAGAGGGAGTGTGCGTACGCGTGTTTGACATTTCAGTGATAAATTCATTACTGCGAATTTTTCTCTAGTTCAGATATCAAAGTAACATGCAGCGAAGTACAGTTTTCATCACGAACACCTACTACTTATATTGACAATTCATTATAGGACAGACACTTTGTATCCCAGAAAAATATGAAATTATTTTGGACTGTACGTAACTGAAACTCAAAACCTAACTTGCGATCCTTCTCACACCAAATTTGGAAAATCTGTTTTGTTCAGCTCATCAAGAGAGCTTTATTGTTCAGAAGCTATCCAGCTCTTTTCAAAACAGATAAATCTGATGGCCCTGCACTTCAAGGACATACATTATCCATTCTTTGAAAATCTTGCCTGTCATTTAATACTTTATGTTTTATGTCTGTAGTCCCCATTATTTCATGTTTGGTAGGAAAGAGTACCTAAATAACACAACCGCTGTGTTGGCCATGCAACATTTTCTCCAGAGTTAACATTTATTTTAGTGAGCTTTCTAATGCTGTGTGAAAGCTGTTTTTCAGTAGCTTTTAAAGCAGTGTTTTTCATATCTATGCAAATCAAAAAACATTGAGACGAAAGTCAGTTATTTTTATTCAAATCAGACTCTCAGGCATGCACTGTATATGTTTGATCATACAAAATGAAATACATCTCATGTCTCCTGCTGCTTCAATTACAGTCTAATTTTGAGTTGCATCAGCACTTACATTTTTGTAATGGAAACTAAAGCCTTCATAAATGCTTCTCCCATGCTGATTTTTATACTTCTTTGCAATTTTTTTTAGCCATAAGTTTGGGAAAAAAGTCACCTACTTGAACCATTTAAGCGACCTGAGAGAACATCTCAAATATGACCAGCTTAATATTCCTCAAGAAGTCATCCGGTACGTGTCAAGTTTCAAATACTTTGTCTCACATTTTCTCAGGTACACTTGTGTTACATCCACTGTATTCCAAGCAGAATCTAATCCTATTTTTTCAGTGGCTGAAAGTTTAATTTACCTTCTGTGCTTGATTGGATTTAATTCTGAAATTTGCATTGCCATGTAAGGCGTGCTAGAGTGTGTCATATGTGGACACAGGAAAACCCTATGTAGTTTTCTACAGGACTGAAACCTTTACATCTCAGTTGTGGAGTATTTTCTTCATATAAATGCAGCATCAGTGTGAGTGTTAACAAAATCCATGTGTTGCTACTACTTATGGGTACTGCATAATGGTCATGGGCAAAAATACAATGCTGACCTCTTTGCTTGCATATTGTAATGGATCAAGACTTCCATTTATAAAGAGTTATCACAGTCAGCAAAGAGTTAATTGATTTTGAATTTTATGGATATGTCTGTTGTTAGCAGATCGATTACTTTAATGTGATGCTTGTATGTGTGCTAGGGAGGAGTAATGGAGAGGGAAAGATTAAGAAGTACATCAGGTTGGGATTATCAAGTGCCAATATTAGTATCAATAACAATCTTTTCGACACTACTCTTTACGTGGAAATGCTTTGATATTGTGACAGGAAATGATTTTATGTCACTGCTGAATGAAAGTAACTGAAGCTTTGATTGTGACTGTTACTGACACCAGGTGGGTTTTTACACATCTTCTGAGTAAATAGGGAATAACTGAAAATACCTTAGAGCTCTGAGGTTATAAATTAGATTGCAAGGTTGTAAAAGAGAGGAGATATGTATTTTGAATAGAAAAGAGGCTTGAATTTTCTTTTAAATTATAGAGTGTTCCTATTTTTTTGGACACATTTATTACTGTACTCCATTGGTTACAGCCAAAAAAAAAAAAAAAAGCTCTTTTTTTGTCTTGTTTAAGAATTCTTTTACAAATACTGCTTAAAAATTTCCTTATTGCTTAAATTATAGTAAATGTAAATTCTGTAAGACTTGCAGCATATATGCTGTTGTCAGGAGATCAGTATCACAAACAAAACTGGTAGCTGTTCAAATATGTAACTTGTCAGCTGTGATGCACAGAAAATCAATGACTTTTTGATTTTTACAGACATGATGAAAATCTTCGGGGGAAACACAAAGGAAAACTGCCACCTGTGGTCAAGGTTCCTCCACCAAGACCACCTCTACCTACCCAGCAATTTGGAGTCAGCCTGCAATAGTAAGCTATTAGATTTCTGAAAAAGAAGATTTCTATATCCTGCAGCTTTCTGTAATATGCAGGTTCACTGGCCACAAAGTCTGCAGACTTTTTTTTTTAGTATATGTTTAGTTTCTCATTCCCTTTGAAAGCCATAAAGCTACAGGGTTAGGCAGTAATATTTATGAATTTGGGACAGGTCTTACAATCCCTTGCCTGGTCTTCATGCTTATAGTATCTTTGGGGTAGTTAGTGCTACTGCTGCTGCGCAATTTTTCTCTCTGTGGACAGAAATTTGCCCATAAATGACAGCCTCAAGCTCACCTGTTGCTAATCATTTCTGGCAGATAGGAAAGAGTTTTGGAGTTACTGATAAATAACTTGTGGGTAGCAAAGCTTCAGAGTCAAAAATGGCTGCAAAAATCTAAAATGGATGCTTTAGCCTTGATAAATTGTTGCTTTGTTGCCCAAGTATTGTTCTTATCAGAGCTCTATGAAATAAGTACAGTCACTCTTACAGAAGGGCCTTCACAGCTGTTTATGTAAATTACAGCACAGTATCTGGTGTAAAAAATTATTTACTTAACACAAGGAATGGGATAGCAATATACTTTCAATAGGCAATTTTGCTAAAAACAGCTAGAACAAAACACAGAAGCAAACAAAACCAAAAAAGCAAAGAAATGTAGAAACCTGAAGAGTAACAACAGCAGTGAAAACTGCAAAATCTTCTTCTAGCTTCCAACTAAGTAGTTTCTGTCAAAGATATGGAAAGCTATCTTGCCATGGCTTCTTCCTCAAGAGCAGCTGGCAAATGTTTGCATTCAAAAAAACCAGTTTAGTCTGTCTGATCCATGGACATTTGGATTTCCTCCCGCCCCCCAAGTCTGCTTATCTGGTGCTAATGATTCAGCTGTAAATGAGATATAAAATATAATTTTCCCCTGTTAAATGTTAAACATTAGTCCTCTGTGGAAGGCCTGATATTAGAACAATCAATATCTATCATATAAGAGCTGCTATGACATTAACTTTTATGATACCTCTTTAGAATCCAACCTAACACTTGAGACATGAGTAACTCACTTCCTTAATTCAGAAGATATCTTTTAGGTAGACTCCATTGGGTCATTAAGAAGGACAATGTTTTATGCTGCTGCTCCTGTTGTAAAAGTGGGACTGCTTACTGGCATCAGGGCATTCAGTTTCTTGCTTCCAGTCCATCCTGGAAGTCCAGTAAGTTCTATCTAACCTCTCGCAGCAAACAATGTCCTTCTCACATGCCTCAGCCTTCCTGAGTATAAAAAGGATGACAATCCTCTACAAATTCAAAATAAGAAATAAATGAATTAATATATGCCATATTTATGAAGAAGGTAAAGCTAATGGAGGAAAGAGAATGATATGTGTTGAGAGCTTCTAAAATCTGAACCAGAAAAAAAGTATTAACTTTTCTCTTGATGAATCAATTGCTTTTACTTTTTCCCTCACCTTTTATGAGTTCTATAGTCTGTAATGGGAAAATTTCAGTAACCTCCCATGTATTTAGCAAAAATACAGGCTTGAAGCCTTCTCCTGGGTGAGGCTCTTTCTGTTTGCCGAAAAGGCTGCAGAGTGACCCTGATCTTATTTTGTATGGGTTTATGGGAATATGTGTGCTGTGTGCCATGTGTTTCATACTGTCAAGTGGAAACAGTATTATCAGTGATGCTATTGAGAGAAAGTTATTGCCGTTAAAGGACTATTTCTTGCAGACTTCTTTTTCTGTAGTGTAAGAAAATAAATATTAAGACTCATAAGCCTGAAGTTTTATCAGTTTCAGCACCTCTGGAATGATGATCTTTAATTAGGCAGTTAAAAGATGGTAAGTGAGGTTATCCTCCTAGATAACCTAATTTTTATCAGATGTTAGACAATTATATCCCAATGACTTCTGGAAAGTAGTAAAACCCATATCTTTTTGAATGTTCCTCTGTAAAAACATCAGGCAATGCTGTTGTCTGGACCACAGTTAGCAGCCACTGTGTTACTCATGAGGAGTATGAATTTTTTGTCATTCCAATCGTGTGTGTGAAAACTTTACAGCAGCACACTCTCAGGCATTTAACTTGTGTCTCACAATTTCAGATAGCTACTTTAGATATTTTCAGGGTGTTTCAAAAATTTGTGTGTACTAGCTTTTCTGTACTTTGGTTATTATAGGTGTAGAATAATAGAGGAAGCTTTAGAAATCAGACTTTATTTAAAAGAGCTTTTCTGTGAGTCAAGGTGCTGTTGTTGCATGGTGCAATGAAATAAATGAAGCTGTAAAGAGGAACTCTGAATCATGTGCAGAGAGGAGTTTGAACAGTCAAATCACTGTTTTTACTGCTTGATGCATGCACAATGGTCTTTCTATAGGCACAGATCAAACACATGCTATAGATGCAGAAAGGAAGATAGATTACGTAGGTATCTGCCCATGGTTCCAATTTTACAAATGCCTATTAACAGAAACCTGTGAAGAAACCCAGCATCTTGTGCAGGAGTGGGCTTAATTAGAGCAACTATTTTTAAAGGGAAACATTCGTTATGATTAATGCCACTAATTCACTCAAACCTAGAAGCATTCCTACATGGTATGTTTGAATCTTACCTAGGAGAACAGGACCGTAAAGATAAGAGAGAGATTCAGTAGATCAGGGATCTGTTCTGGGCTGAGTTGCAGAAATTTGTTATCCCATGACAGCTGTTCGCACTGTGATTCAGCAAAGATCTTAAGCCAATTTTGTTTCAGTTTAGATCTTTGGAATTTAAGTGTGTAACTTGTTGCTCAGAAACATGAATTTGAAGCCTATATCATTGTGAGCTCCTGTGAGGACAATGTTGTTTGGTCTTCACAACTGCAACTTGAATCTGGTACCAGGTTCTCCTGAAGTTTACATGGGAAGTACTGTAGTTCTTAAGCTCATAATAAATGAGCTTAGTAAAGGCAGTTAAATCATCAAGAAGTGGCAATAGGATTTCTCTAAAGCATAGGAGACAAGAAAAAAAAAAAAACAACCATGGTGCTCTCCTGAGTTAATTCTTTGTGCCTATGTGTACAGAGCAGACTTGCCCAGTTGGCTGAATGTCTTTCCAAGATATTTTTGGCCTCCAGCCTGGGTTTCCTGGGTGCCAAATTCTGCCTGTTTTAGTGGCCCAGAACACATTTAAATATTTGATGTTGAAAGCAATGTGATTCTCTTGAAAATGTAAAATAACACAACTGAAACTAATGTACATCTTAATGGGCATATTGGGCAGAACACTCCTTCTGAGGAAGTTTTGCCCACACTTGATTTTTCTGTCATAATTTAATGGGAAACCATGCTTCAGTTTGACAAGCACTTAAGAATCAGTTGGTAAAATATTTTGTGTGTTTATTGCTAATTATGTCCTTTAGCTAACTCAAGCTTCTCATGCGCAGAGGGAGCAAGCAGATAAAGAACCGTGATGAGCCAGTTTAAAGGTCTATCAAGCCTCATATCCTGTCTCCAATAGAGGGTAATAGCAGAGGCTAGCAAGGAGCAGGGTTAGAAAAGGGCAAGTGTACAGGGATGCAGCCTCTGCTATAGTGTTGTAGTCTGTAGTCACTCCTAACTTGCAGAGGATATGATGCAGTCCTATGAAAATTACGTTGTTGCTCACCAATAGCTGTAAGTTTTATAAATCCAGACATTTCAAAGAAAGCTCGTATATCATGGTCATAAAGGACTAGCTTTGTGTTCATTCTGCCTGGCTATCTTCACACAAAAAATGCAGAGCAGCAGGAATTATCTATTCAGAATACATCCTCACTACTTGTGTATTGTGTAAACAGGATTTTTCTTGTAAAAGCCATTTGTAAAATTTTGTATTTAAAAAGGCAAGGAAAAAAATGGGGCACCCTCTACTTTTGGTGTAGAGAAGAACACAGCTCAAATGCATAAATGAAGGTTCCTAAATTGGCAAAATATATAAAGAATAAATAATTAACTGTGTGAGCCAAGCTGAATCATTGTCTTCTCCTGTACACTCAGCAAGCTCCTATGAACCTCTGTTGCTGTACCCTATTGCCTCTGTAATCAAGGATGGTTACAGCTGAGCTCCAGCACAGAACACAGAGCTGACCTTGACTAGCTGTTGACATTGTTCTGTTTTCACTGATTGGTTTTAAAATCTAAAATTAAATATCATTTGTGGGGAGACAGGGAATGCTTTGTTTTTATATTTATTGCCATGGATGGGGAGAGAAAGCAGAGGAAAATGCACACAATTGCAACAACTGTACAGCTTTTGCGTGTTGAATTGTTATCATAAACATTTCAGGGTGCTTTTCTTTTGGACATAATCTTTCTGCTTGTGCATGCTGGGCATGCATGACCACAGAGCAAGAATGCATTCAAAACTGGATCTCGGCATGTCTCAGCAGGGAAAAAATGAAAAGGAGAGGAAGAGGAGAGAGAGAGAGATTATCAACCAAGAATACTTAATGGCACTTCAGAACAATGTGTAGAGGTCTTTTGTGATAACTGTCCACAGTCTAAAAATGAATTGTTGAATGTATGACACTGCAGTAACTGATCACATATTCTGTAGTGAAGAGTACTCATTCTCTCTAGCTATTGTGTTTACTGAAATAGATCCCTCTTGAATCTAACATATTGTTGCAACATGATTCAGATATGCGAATCAGTTACAGACAACTATACTGTACACTGAAATGCTCTGTTTTGTCTTTCTCTCTTAAGCAAAAAGCATAAGAGATCTCTTATTTCAAAATGCCTGATCTCTAAAAGCAGTTTGCATCATCCATCATAGAGCACAGCTGCTCATCACACCATCCTGAATGGGGCAAGAAAAATGCAGATTATTTGACAGGAAGGGAAGATAGAGATGTAATTTCACTGACCTCTGGGCTGCTCTGATTTACATTAGCTGAGGTAATGCCCCTATTATTTTTTGTCACCTTAGGTCCAGTAAGCTGAACAGTATGTTCCACATTGTACAATGTTGTGAAAATATGCATTCCAACTTTCTCAGGTGTTGGAAAAACAGAACAAACCTTTGCATGTGACTTTCAGTGAATTTTCTACTCTATTTTAAAATACACTTTATCCTGAGGTCGTCTTTCATGTGCTGGCAATTGAGTGTTTTCTTCAAGAGAAAAGAATCATGCCAAAAATGGCAAATGTGCAGAAACTAGATTTTTTTTATTTTTTTTTTTCCTAGAGAAAGAAAAATGATACATAGGTTTTATTATTACAAGTCAGAGCTCAGTTATTTGTTTCACCTCTCTGACAGATAGGCTAGTGCTCAGCAGGAGAAAGTGCTGTAAATAATCAGTTTGCTATTTATACACTGAAATGAGGAAACACATTTATAGGAAACAATAATAATTAGAAAACATTTATAAAAATCTGCTGGGTTGCTATTTGGTGTCTCTGGAGTGAGCAGCTGTAAGAAAGCAAAAACAATCAAATCAGTGCAACTTCAGAGAGGCTGAGAATGGGTTCCACGAGCTCAAATTGTCAATAATAAAAATGTAACAGCTTCAAAGCAAATTAAAGCCTTGATGATGTCCCCATTTAAGTGATTTAGGCTTTTGACTGATTTTAATAAAACTTGCCCTAAAAGTTTAAGGTACTTACTTGAACACACGATTGTGTTGCACAAGGAATGTGTCTTAATGCCATATTAGGAATATATTATACATATTACACACAAAAAATAAATAGTATTTTTTCCTCTTGTCTTGATTTGCTGCAAGCTTTTCTTCAGTGGTATCCCAAATTTGACCTTGAAATTGGCCTCATCTCCCCACCCTTTTCTTGTTTAGACACTTTTTGGGGGTTATCATTTCAACTTTGGGAATTTCAACTTGGCATGCAGCGCAAAAAACCCTCTGAACCTCCTTGTTGTTTATTAGTGGGCTGTTCAGAAATTGCCTGTTTTCTTCTATTTTGGGGCAGGCTTTGTTAGGCAACAGTGATCTGCTGCAAACAAGAGAGTAAATGAGTCGTGTACAGAAGCAACCATGGCACATGGCTCATGTGTTCTGTGTTTAGATGGCTGCATTCCTTCTGTAGGGGATGAGAGCTCACAGCATTGCAGCACAGCTGCTTTTAGATTTTTTCTCCCCTCAGTCTATATGGATATCAGGGAGAAGAGAAGCACAACACAGGTCTCAGAGCTGTTCTTAGAGCACAACTGCTGCACAACTTCTGCATGGTTGTAGCAGTCAGTCTGGCTGTCCACTCTGAAGTGTCACCAAAGCATGTGAGACTTCTCTAAGCTCATTGAAGGTAATATCAGAGCTGGAGGAAGCAGGAGAGGCTTGGTACTTCGGGAGTGACAGAACTGATATCCTGAAAGTGACTAGGAGGATTTTGTAGCTGGGATTTTATTTCACTCAGGCACCTGATTGTTCCTGTGGGTAAGATGGGGATGCTGCACTGAGAACTAGGCCATAGACATGGCCAAGGTAGCATTTCAGGCAATGACTGTGTCTAGTTAGTGAGTTTTTTTTCCTAAAATACTCATGGCCTTTGGAGTAGCTCTCATAAGATGTCTGTGATAATGATAAAGATTGAGATTGGCCTTTATCTTATAAGTCAGGTCATAAATCTTTCTTCTGGCCATTGCTAAGTTATTATGATTCAGCAGAAAGTGATTAATCCAGCTAGTCCAGTACTATTTTAGATTGAAATTAATGGCACCTTGCCAGTGTGTAAAGACAGCAAGTTGTCGCATTTGATCTGAAGTTCCTACTTGTAAACTACAGCAAATTATGAGAATTACTAATACACAGAAGATCAGACTTCAGGATTATCTGAATTAAACTCAGTTCTCGCCATTGGTCTTTTACTTTCCTCAAGTGCATTACATACATATGCAGAATCTTTTTGGTCAAATGACTAAAACTGTTCTGTTACAAACTTAATATGTAAAACTGGATTGTAATTTCTAGTGGAATTCCTGTATCTGCTTACATTAAAGAAAACCCCTCTTTCCTAAATAGTTCCTGTTAGATGTAGATACAGTGATGTTTCCACAAGTTAGTATTAACACACATATAGAGCAGTACTGAATTTTATACACTTAGGTGTCTGGTGTAGATACTTTGTTGAATAAGAGCAGGAAGAAAATGTTGAATGGATTGATATTTTTAGTCATGTTTTATAGGGAAGCTGTGCACTCCTGTCAACAAAATTTACATAGGAACAGGGCTCTCAGAAATACTACTGGTACTCAGAAATACTGCTGCTACAAGCTTTTAAAAATCATTGCCTGGAAGGAGAGTAATTAAAGCATAAAATCAGTTTTGTGTTGTTTTTGGTCTGCTGATGCACCTGTGAGTTCTTAGGTGGTGATTAATTATGAGTTGTTCCTAGCATAATAAGGAAATGTGAGATAAAGAGGTGATGGGAAGAAGTGAAAAAATGACATAAAAGTTAGAAATGACATAGGGAAAATGGTTCAGGACTACTTGATGAGGAAATGGAAGACATAGGCTACAGATCCATGACATATCAACTTTGTTCTGCAGCTGAAGAAACAACTTATTCCCTTTCCTACACCAGGGAGCTCTAGGTCTTTGAAGTAGTACAAATAATGGCGCTGATGGCTCAGCACTGTGCCTCTGGAGTGATGAATGAGGTCAAACTGCTTGGTGGTTGAACACCAAATAGTGTGAAGCGTATTAATTCCCCTGTCAGTTTATGAGTAAGAGAGGTAAAAACAGGGCAAGTTGGTGACTAAGTCAGGATCCTGATTCTTCCCTTGCTTCCCCCCCAGCCCTGTGTGTGAGCTTGGGGTGACCATCCTTCTCAGTGAAGTCTCAAAATTAAGCAGTCTGCATGTCCTCTTCTATCTCCCTTCTTAGGCACGAGAAAACAAACACGAAGTAGAAGAGCCAAGGGCCCCTCACCAACAGTTTCCCTACCCCTCCATGCTATAACATTGCTATAACATTTATTTCAAAGTATATTTTTACGTATAGTGTAAATGCAAAATAAAATCATTGATGGCTCATTCCATGCAAGTGTTATGAAACTGTATCCAATACAGTCCAGTTAGTATCAGTTGTTTTATATTAATAAAATAATGAACAGGCCTATGCAGAAAGAGAAAAAATCACACTGCCTTGAGAAGAAAAACTCTAAGACTCATTCCTATCCGCAGGCACAACCACAGCTAGGAGCACTAGGTGTGTTTAACATGCTGTGTGTATCAGCTTGTGTGAGCACCTCACACTGTGGAATAACCACAGCAGTTGCAGCCTCTCATAATGGAGCCTTTGTGCTGTTTTGTTCTGGTGCTTTAGAGCTCATCAGTAAAGCTGGTCACCTTTTAAATATGACATTAATTTTTTCATACAAATATATTTGATTTTTACGTTAAAATCTGAGATTTGTCCTTTATTTTGTTGTTTATTACTATAAAAATGTAGAAAAATGCTTGACAGATACTGTCTTTTGAAACTACTAGAGACATGTTTTTAGATAATTGAGAAATTTTCTGTGTTTCTAGATTAAGAAAATGCTATGTTCGATTTTTTTGCCTTAGCTGCTCACTCATGAAAGAAAAGGAAATCTAATTTTGTGAGAATCATTCAAAGCATTAATAAACTCAATCTCACTGCATCACTTTGCCTTCACAATAAATAGTGCAATATCCTTTTATTTAGACATACTCTGTGCCTTAAAAAGGGAGAAATGACAAAGAAAAATCTGCATGATAAAAGGCTTCTAAACTTGCAGCATTCCCCAAGACTGTTATAAAGCACTCGATGCAAGCTTTTTTCTTGTCTGCATCCGACCTGCTTTCAAACCACGTTCCAGCAGTGCTGTGCAACTGAATCCAGACAGCATCGTCACTGCTGTGTCACCACCACATCGTTGGGCACTACAACCAGGGGAACAAAACTAAGGAGAAACCAACCTTGACTGGGGGCAAATTCAGCCTGGAACACCTTACTGCCACTCTGCCTTCAACTTCTCTTTGGAGCAGAAAACAGCCCTTCTTTATATGCATTGCCTTTGTGGTTGTACAGTTTTTCTAGCAGGAAAAAAAGCATTTAGGAATGGCTCTTTGATTAAAACCCTTTGGCTCATTCTGCACCTCTTGCAATTGTGGAGGAGTATCCTGTTTGGTGCAAGCTCCAAGATGTGGGCTCCTTGATTTTCGGAAGGAAATGCATGCTTTCAAAGTCCCAAAGGTTTTTCCTGAGACTGTTCTGCCTTTTGTTTGATTCTTTGTCTGCCAGCACCACTTAAAGGCTGTTACTTTTTCTTTTTTTCTCTCTTTCTAACAGTATCAAGGACAAAAATAGCGGTGAACTAATTCCCCCAGTAATGAAGGAAACTGTGTCCTACCTAAAAAGAAAAGGTGAGTTCTGTGTCAAAAAAGGATGTGTCTTTCAGAACAAAGACAGTGTGTAATCCTCAGTGCCTGATTCAGCAAAGTTTGTAGCTGCAATCTCAAAATGAAGGATATATTCAAGTCATGAAAATTTGGGTGGTAATTGAACATTGCCTTGAGAGCTTTGATTGGTAGAGAATAGTTTATTATCAGATTATTGTCTCACTACAAAAAATAAAAAAATAATAATTTTTAAAAAAGATTAGGGAATAGCAAGTGAGAGAGCATGTCTTGAAATAGACATCACCAACCCATATCATATTGTGGCTTTTAAGTAAAACTTGCAGTAAAAATCAATGAAAACTTCTGTATTTATAGAACTCATTGAAGAAAATGCGTTTTGTAGGAGTAAGCCTGAATCTTCCCTTCAAAAAAGACTGTTGCTGGCATTTACAGACCCTTTGACTGCAAGTCATATCTATGGTTGCAATACATTGGAATACAGTTTAGTAATCTTTCTTTAAAATGAGAACATTTAAAACTTGTGTTCACAGATCACTTTCATGTACAAGGAAAGGAGGGATGCACTTTGATCTGGTGTCTATACACTGGTATCCCTCATGCATACCCAACCAACACAATGGAGGAAGGAAGCATCAGGTGCTATCTGTAGGGCAAGCATGCTGTGTTTCCAACTTAGGGATGGAGGAGCAGGCAGGGAGGAAGGGATGAGGCTGCAGTTCTGACATTCTTTTTTTCTATATAATGTGATTGCACATTCTGATCCCTGATTTTGAGTTTGGTGAGAGTAATATTTCCATAATTCCTCCTGCTTCAAGGTGTTAGAGTTTCATGAATGTTAATGAATGTTAATGAAATTTTACAGTACCAACTCCAAATATTAGCTGCATTTATGTTACACGTGCAAGAAAAGAAACAGAGCATAACACAGCTATGTGACTGGTGCAGCACTGCTAAGTGCTAAAGCTGGGACTGATTCCTATGATCTCTGAAAGTACAGTGTGAATTTTTAATAGATGTGTCAGTAGAGGCAAGTGAAGAAAATCAGAATGTTTGGTTCAGGTATTTGTTGAGGGAATGCAGGTGGCATTGTTGGTTGTTTTGTTTGTTTGTTTTTTAATTGAATGTTACTAGTCTTTAACATGCTATTAATTTTGGTTAATATTTAAACAAATTTTAAGGATTAACATGATTTTTCTTAAGACAAAAAGCATGTTCATGGCTCTGTATTCCTGCTATATGTAGCAGTTTCATTTGAGGTTTTCCTTGTTTAAAGAATTATTTGTATTGACAGCACACAAACAGAGAATACAAATGTTGAGTAAGTTATTGTCTTCCATAGAGAGGCTTACCCCAAACCTACATCCCACAATATTCCCCATCCTTAACTGCATTCTTGAGCTGCTAATCTGAACAAGCTACATTTTCCTTTCAGATGTGTTTAAACTTGTTCAAATGTGTTCAGTGTTGATTTCTGTCTGTTTTAACTGTTGTCACTAGAGTTTGATTTGAGTTTATTTGAATCTTAAGAGAGAAATATCAAACATTTTTGAAACTTGCACTGAATAGGCTTCACATTTGTGGAAAGAGAGAGGAAGGAATGTGAAGAAAAACATTACTTTTCAGCTGTGTTGCAGATTCCCTTGAGCAATCCTGTCTTTATTTATATCAGTGCAAGATCATGCTGGTTTAAATGAGGACAGACTATACAGCATCTTTCCTTCATTGCTGGACTATACTCCTCTATATTTTAGTTTCTCCTGTAGTAAATAAGAACATTTTATTGCACATTTTATTTTTGTTTGGTTTTCATACCTTGCATGAAACTTAATGATTTGTATAGGAGATTAAGAGGGAGATCCATTGCAGTGGATACCTGCTTTCAGTTCACAAACAGCAGCGCACAGCTTTTGTAGGCTTCCTTGTGTACAGAACAGCCAGCTGCTAGCCTACTGAAATTGGTGATTTATCTTCAAAATACCTGTACCAACCAAAGGCCAAGGATTGGAGTTGTGCTATTCAAGGTATCTACTGATCTGCAGTATATGAAGACCCCCCCCAAAAAACTTTACTGAAGGCCTCTAGGTCCTAATTCTGCATTACACTAAAGCTCATAAAACTATTCTGATATTCTGGACATGCTGCTTCAGGCACCTTATGAAAACTTTTCAAATGCAGCTTGTTTCAAATACATTGTTGTTAGATGGGTGGAATGTAAATAGTTCACTACTAAGAATGTTGAAGGCAAGCGAATGGCAGCTTGAGACAATCCCTGTAATTATAATTGTAAATGGATAATTAGAGCATGTGTAGTGGATCAGTGCATGCCTCATCTGCAGATGAAAGCCAGGTTTTTTCATGTTTTAGATTGTTACGAAACAATCATACTTACATACATTTAGCTTATCTTAATAGGCAAATACCTCTTACTCAGTAATCCACAGGAGTCAAGAGAGCTGAAACAAAGATGAACCTGCACAGATATCACTAATTCTCATAGCTGTTATTACTGAGAAATGAGTGAAAGTTTAATCATTAAAAATGTCAATTGATTTAAACTTCTGACTGTATAGAGAGAGGATAGTTTGCTTATCTTACGCTTCCTTCCAGCTGTTTAAAGATTTTAAAGTACTTGTATTTTGCTGGTGACCAAAGTTTCATTAGTAACATGTTGTTATGACTGAACACAAAAGGTCCATTTTTTGTTATTCCTGATGTTTTTCTTGATGTTTTGTCTCGTAGCAATTATAACGGTATCAGGCACCTCCATCCCACATTTGTTGGGTCCAGCTTAGTTTTCTGAAGCCACCACTCCTACTGCACAATGCAGAAATCTAAAACAAAAACAAAATAAAAGCAAATAAATAAATAAATAAATAACCACCAAAGTTTCAGCTTTCATGGTTGTGATTAAAGAGAAGATTTGGCTCAAACTTATCATTGCAGAATGTCTCTGAGATGAAAGCTTGTTATTCTGAAAGCAGTAATCATCCTTGGGTTTTCTCCAAACATCCTCTTTTTTTGGCTAAAACTTCATCTGTTCAGTGCAATATCAGCATGGTTTGTGAAGGATAGTCTCTGAGGATATGTGATGATATTTCTGAACAAAAGTCCTTGTCCTGCTTTGTGCATCCATGCAAGTTGGTAGCACAGTGATTCTGAGCACTGATCTGTAGTTCAGCCTCACACTTGCTAGCCAGCCTGTCTCACTTTTCCCCATCTTTCTGTTCCCAGGAGGGAAGGCCATCAGATCTGCCAGCGCTGGCATCTTCCAGCTAAGCATGGGTTTGTTCTGAGCTGACATATTCCCTATCACAAGGAGATGTCCTCTAACCAGATTTCTCAGTTAGGGAGACGGCTTGTCAGGTAGAGCATTTGCTGACATTTTCAGCCAGCTGATTCTTGAAAGCCAAGTACCTGCCATGCCGAGGCTGTTAGCAGTAGGTGATAGACATGCATTTTTTTGCACTTGTTTATAAGTGTGCAGGTATCTGTAGTACTTGCTGTCTGCTCTGATTTTAACTCTTTATCTAAATCTGGAATATCTCAGTTCTGCCATCAGCCTCAGTGTGTGTTGGTTCTGGTGCTGACAGCCCTGCAGGGTGACTGGCAGCATTCTTTGCACTCCAGACGCAGCTGTGAGTGCAGTGAAAACTTCAGCTCCTCTTCCAGAAGTGGCAGAAATTCACTGTCATTATCTTTTCCATTTGATTTTTGGCATAGTTTCCATCCTCATAGGATTATCAGGGGTTAGCTTTTGGTTTTGTAGCTGAGAATTTGCTCTATCAAATAGTGTTATTGTGCTCTTTGCATCTGTTGTAGTTTCCGTGGAAATAAATAGGACGCATTACTTCAGAGAGTGACCTATGAAAAAAGTCATCAAATACTACAAAATCTTAGCAAGTGAATTCCTTTGCAGCTGATTATCTTCTGGACCAAAACAGAGAAGTTTTCTTAATTTCAAAAGTGAGCTGATGATTTAGTCAGGCCTTAATGGCAAGATCGGTTTAAAAGAGTGTATCTGTGAGTAGATTTTAATAGTAACCAGCAAACCAGAGGACTTTCTTCCTGATCAACCTCTGAACAACTTGTTCATCTGTCTAGTTCTGGCTTGGCTTGTGCTTACACTAAATAAGATTTTTGTGTACTACCTTATCTCTACTGTGCCTTGAGAAATTACCTTGCTTAATTAAATATTCACTCTCTTGTCAGAACAATTCATAAGTGTTCATAACCCGGTGTCATTCCTTTGGTGGTAATGATCTTGATGCTTTGTGCACAGGCCTTTTTCTCAGACAAACCCAGTTTATGCCACAGGGCAGTCATTTTTTCTCTGGTTGATATGTCTCCACATGTCCTCAGCAGCTTACCTAGTGCTGAAGTGAGTTGCTGATGGAAGCTGACTCTTCTAACAGACTGTTTTTGTGAGCAGGGATGTAAGTAATGCCGTGCTATGGAGGCTGCACCTTTACATGCCCATGATGCTTGGGGATATGAGAGTGGCTGCAGCCACAGGTGCTGCCTGCAGCATCCTGGCAGGACAGAGGGGAATCACAGCCATGTGCACTGGGGGCTGTAAGGCTCAGATGTGTGCTTGTCCTTTATGCTTACTTAGGTGTCTCACCAGTTTTTTCATGCCTTTTGCTTGTAATGTCTTTTTGTTCTAGAAAAGTAGTCAACATACTCTTTATTTAAGCATGTCATTAGAAATGAAAGGCTCGGTGGTGTGTGTGTTGGTTTGGGGTCTTGTTTAGACTAGTGTTAATACAATTCACTACATTCCCTTAGTTCTTAAACTGAGCCACAGTTTGAAGGGACTAACAGTTTGAAGGGACTGATATACAATAACAGTGAAGATGCGTGGCAAAATCCATGTTCTGTAAGCAAGCACCCCAACATCTGGAAGTCACAGAACAGTTTTTAAGGGAATTTTTATTTGATTCATTGTAAAGGTGGGTATAATCTGTACTGTTCTGACCCTTATGAAGGTGTTAAATAGATTAAAA